GCGCACCCTTGCAGCGGTGGCCGCGGCCACCCAGCCCGCTCGCAGGCGCACGGAGTCGTAATGAACCAAAAATCTACACAGCGGTGGTGCTTTGAAGTGTCTGGTTCAGTCCATTTTAATAGGTCTTGTCTGATTCTGTGTCTTCGTTAATTACTGCTGTTTGGGTAAGGGGGTAGTGGGAATACCCTCCCCCCCCAGCTAAAGTACCCCTTTCCAAAGGAAAGCGTAGGAGAGGTGGGGAGACAGCACAAACTTTTGGGAGATAAACAGCCTCTCCCGAACAGGCAGCAAAGCCTGCCTCCAACAAACCTCACAAAACCAGTCCCCTGAATAAACAAATCCTTTCCTATCATCAGAGTTGTTGAACTGTTATTGTTGAAGCTGCTGCGAAATTGCTTGGCTCTTTGCATCTCTGTCTCCAGAAAGCTCAGGCGACGCAGGCCAACCCCACGGCTTTGTGCCCCCAAGATGCGGCGAATGAGCCTAGTTTTTAGCACCGTGTTTTCAAGCAGAACCCATTTCCAAACTGCTGCCGATAATCAGTCTCGCCCTTTGCTCCCTAAATGCAGCCCTGCGTTCAAACGACCCTAGCAGCAGCTACGCGATGGCTTGCTTATCCGCGCCAGAGGCTTACCGCTAGAGAGCCCGGGGGGGTTTCCTGAAGATGCCCGATATCTGCTTTTGGTACATCCCTTCGAAACAGGGCCAAGAGGAGCACGCGAAGGAGAACAAAAGAGCACTTTTCTCCATTGGCTTGTGCGTTCAGGTGGGAGATGATACTTCAGGTATTTCCCACTGCAGAAGAACGAAGAGCAGATGTAAGCGGTTATCTCCAGCCAGGCAGCCATTCGCACCTACGGTTTCCGTCAGCCTAGACCTTTCCTTAGAGTTGTATTTACCGAGGGCATGTTAAGGTTCTGAGTCGTCTATGTAAATACACCTCACCCTTTCTAGTAACATCTTGCTCTCATTCAGCTAATTGTGTAAAACTGATGCAGATTTCCATGTGATCACAGCTGGCTATGCGGGCAGTGAATTCAGCCCCAATCTGTATTATAGAAAAACCTCAAGTATGGTAATAGAATTGAAAACTTCGGTACAATTCACAATAGCTTTTTTTTTTTTTTTTACATTAAGCCAGCATATGAAGAATGGTAATAGACATGAAGTTAAAAATATTTACTCTCCTTCATCGTTACAGTTTTTCTTTAATATGGTTTCCAACATCAGCTTTGTAGAAAAGAGGTTAAAAAAAATACAACAGAGGTAACTGTAGATGGCGTATTTCCTCAATTTTCTCAGATAATATGCAGTACGTCTGAACTCTGCCCATTTCACCATTGCAAACGTGATGCAGCAGAAAGCTTTCCCGTTTCAGTATTTTCACAAAACAAAACCCCAAATTAGAAATAATAGTTCCAGCCTACCACAGCTGAGATTAAACATATCCATAGCAAATAGCAGTACAATCTACTCACATGAAGAAATCATGCTGCATAAGCATATGTTTCCAAATTACACGCAAAAAATGTATTTTAAAAGCTGATGCCAGTCAAAATCAATAAGGAAGCCCTTCATAAATGACGCTTTTAATGTGTCAGTAACATATTAGTCATTTTAATTCAAGTTACCGAGGTGAAATCAGGACTGATGGTGGCCCAGCGTGCTGTTCTCAATCTACAGAGGCCTCTGCCCCTGCAATCAGTTCTGGAGCAGAGTTCACAAAGCAAAAACTGCAAGCCTCTGCTCCTCTCTTTCTTTTATCATCCCTATTTGAATTGTATATAATATTCCTATCTGAGGTTAGAGAGGAATTGCTGTAGTATGAAATCTTGTAAGGAAAGCAAGCCAGCAAAAATAGATGTATTTTGCATCTCTACAGAAAATTCAGAGGACTCCCACAGGCATCCCATATGACATGAAATTAATAGAGAAGCAGTCTGCTAAAATACTAGAGTAAGGAGAAAAGATGAACTTTGGGGTGGATTAAGCCAGAAGTCTCAGGCTTAAAATGCAATAAGAGTGAGAGAGCCGTTAGACATGAGGAAAGTTTTCTAGTGAAGAGTATTTCATGAAACTTTTAGAAATGAAAGAATTATGTCAAGAGATATGTCAATAGATTATAAGCATATTTTCAAATAAAAATCTAAATATTAAAAAAGCATTAAATATATATTTACAATGCAAAGAAATTATGTGGCCAAAGCAATATGAAACAGTGCTTTGATAATGTTGTGCTCCTATTTCTGATGTACACACATTCCAAAGACCCATATGTGATAATTTAGAGTCTGAAATCTACCTGCACTGTGACTTACACTACATGGACAGCAAAGATGCGGGTTAAAGACAATGTAGTAGTGTGAGATAACTGTATTTTAACCAAAAAAAAAAAAAAAAAGCACCATGGGAGACATTCAGAGGAAAAATGGGCTTTTCATAAAAGAAACGATGAACCGGGAAGCTGAAGATCTCCAAGAGGATAAATTACAAACGTTTTCAAATGATTTGGATGAAATAGTCCAGATTTCTAATCCTAGACCAGATGTCTTTCTGTTGGGAATGCTCCCAAGAGATGATTCTCCTTACCCTAGCATTTCCTTCTACATCCTGCTGCAAATTTTGCATCTGTTTCATTTTTCAAGACTGTCATGTGAATATCTAACCATAGTTTTCCACCAGGATTCTTTCTGTGGCTGTGACCTCAGTCTGCTCGCATTATAGTCTTCCAAGCTGCTGTGAGATTTGTTGATTCATTTCATTTTCCTACTTCCAAATAGTTAGGCAAGCAGCAAGCTGTGATACTAAAACTACTGTTACCATCTTGTGCTACAAATTGCACACGTTGTGTTTGTCTGGAGTAAAGGAGGTACCGGTTTGGCTGAGGCGAGTTCAACATAAAAACCAACACAACCCCATTTCCAACACAGTCCCCTAGTTCTTCATGCACTTTTCCTATTTATAGCTATTTCAGTAGCATCTAGAAATCCAAATCCAGGATTAAATCCTCTTAAGTACAGTACATACACATAATACAGAGACCTCTGTAGATCTAAAAAGAAAAACCTACTCTATTACCAGAATGGTTTTTCCAGTTAAAAATAAGCAAAGCCCATTGATAAAAAATGGTCCTATATTTGCACTTCATATGGCCACAAGATGCTAGAAACAACTGTACAATATACAAGACAAGCTGTAGGTTGAAAAAGGTAGCATGTTGCATCACTTACTGAAATGGAGTATGAAGATTTCTAAACAGTGGAGAAAAGCCAAAATAGACTTACTTTTTTTTTTTTTTCAGGGAGGAGGATATTATAGAGAAAAGTATTATATTACAACTGTGATTCATGAGAAGCTCCAAACTTTCACACCGTATAATATAAACACATCACATATAATTCTTCTGTCCAAAAGGGTTTTCATCACAGATAAAATGCTCTGGAACTCTTTAGCTCTCTTTCTGCTAACTGCTAAGTATATTTTCTTAACTAGAGTAGTATATGCATTTATCTACCTGGGCTGTCAATCCAAATGTCTCTTGACAGGAGTCAGTTAAAAGCTGGATTCAATGAAGGATCTCCATCTCCTTCTATTGAATGTTATTTTAGCGAGCTTGGCCCTTTGGAAATGGATTCCATTAGCTATTGCAAGAAGCAAAACAGTGAACACTCTGTACCATGGATATATTCTTAGTAATTCTTAGATTCCAGTTATATCCTTTGTATTCAACCATGCATATGAATGAAAGAATCACCAGGCTTCTTGATGTCCTCTTAGCAGGTGAACAGTATTAGACACGAGCATCTGAGATTCCCTTATAAACCATGCAATGGCTGATAAAAAGTACTGGATCCGGAGCTGTATTTAGTAAATAAAAATATGTTTAATTGTGTCTAGGACACAAGCACACACTTTTCAGAAAATAAAACCACTTGAATAGCATAATCTACATAACTAGCTGAATTTAGTACATTCTGGCTGTCATTTTCATTAAGAATTGGATAAGCGAACACATACTGCCAATATAAATATGGCACTAGAGTAATCTTGTCTGTACATATTTTAGTATGTTTTCCTTTGTTAATAAATTGGAGGTATTTTTCCACTTGGCAGCTAAGAAACTTATTTTTCAAGTTAAATTCCACAATCTTCCAAATCAGACAAAACATTAAAAAAAAAAAAGCAATAAATCTTTTTGAATTATTATGTTAAAAAACATCATAATTCCAAAAGTAAATACAACTATTCTGGCAAATGCAATTACTACTGAGTTTTGTTAGGCACAAGGAAGTTGAATAAGATCCACTGAACTATACCACAAAGGCTACACAAATATAACAATGTTGAAGGCATTAGCAAGGTGGAATAGTATCTAGTGGGGGGGGGGAAAAGGTTATTTTCCTCTCATTTACAACACATTTAGATGAAAAGCAAATGTAATGAAATCAATGCATAATTCCAAATTAATATTACTATAAATGAGAGCAGGATCTAGCATCAGCAGTTGCAAAGGCCTAGTAACTGGAGACAAAATTGTTTATAATTCAAATGTAGTCCAGAAAAGCAGGTTATAGGATTTCGCTTCCTTTTGACAACTGTTCAGCAGCTTGTGGGAACTGAGAAAGCAGTGTTCCTACTCCAGTTGCTACTGAACAGCTGTCCGTCTCAGAAAAAAAAAAAAGAGTATCACAGACTGACAATGAGACAAATCAGCAGTCTTGGCAGTTCGGCCCATATTCTGCACTGGTCAAAGCCATGTGGTTGCAGTAATATCACACCAGCCCTGAACCAATAAACCCTCCTGAAATTTCAATGTATAAGCTTCAGCTTGAGACTCGGTGGTACAGTCACGTAACTTCTGCTTGGCTTAGAGAACAGGCAGGGCTTGCTCATGTCTACCTGCAACATAAAATGTGTAAATATAGCCAGAATAATAATTAGGACTGCTTTCTGTATCTCATGCATGAGCCTTTCATCTCAAGGCCCTTCATTACCTTTCATCAAGAAGCCACTAAAGTTCATCAATCATTTTATTTAGGAAAAGGGTTAATAACCAAACATCCCCAAAGTCCCAGATAACTAAATCTGTCTTCTGTTAAATGTTGATGCCTACCAAATTCACGCTCTGGTAAATCCAGCAAAATGGGCCTTTTCCTAGTAGCTTCCTACTACTAGGAAAATTGAAATCTGAGAACAAGATAGGAGACAAAAACAGAAAGGAGTCAAACTTCCAGATCCTCAGCGTTCTGGGCACACAGTTGTGTCACTTCAATCCCACCCAAAATCCCACCCATGTTCAGAAGCAAACTGGATTGCCGAGGCTGAGCTTGAACGTCAGATGAGCTTCTGCAACATTCACAAGCTGCAGATTTTATAGACTGCAGCTTTCGTAGGCCCACCTCTTCATCAACCTGTGCTTTCTGCAGTGGTTTCCACCAACTGTAGAAAATGCTATCAGAGCAGAATTCTTGTGTTTAACATTCACATTGTGCAGGTGAAAATATTAACCCAAACACTAAAGCTGCAGAAAAATTGCTATCACCTTTTTCCAAAGAAAGCTTGGATTTGTCTCAGAACTGAAGCAAGCTGGATTCAATCCTGTGTACCATGCCAAAGAATTCGGTTGCACAAGCCAGAGCAAATGCAAAGCAGAGCAAAAAATTTCCCCTATTGAAGTAAGAGTAAAGCATCCTACAACTTTCTATTTGCAGCTGTTGTGACTCTAAGGTGTTTTCTGCCACAAGAGCTTTATGAGCTTCCTCAACTGCTTGTCCAGTCGCAGGTCGGTTTGGAAGCACGGTGACCTGCAATGGCAGTGTGAAAAAGAAATGCTGGGCTGGAGCAATCT